GGTTTTTTAAAACAGATAGTTGAGGTACCTTCACTCAAAACAACAGATCATAGACAATAATGCATTTGTCTTCATTAGGCTATGTTTACGCTTGTATTTGGGGCGGGGGGGGGGGGGGGGTAAAAACGGATGGTTGAGGTGCCTTCACTCAAAACACCAGATCATAGACAATAATGCATTTGTCTCCATTAGGCTATGTTTGCGCTTGTATTGGGGGGGGGGGGCTGGTAAAAACGGTTGGTTGAGGTGCATTTTTACCCCCCCCCCCCAAAACTACCTTAACCTGTGAAGGCAGCCCGATGGTGTTACTTGCTACAGCCACGATGCTTTGCTATGCAGTGCAGCAAAAAATGATACCTTCCATTGCATTTGGTGGGCAGTAATGGAACGCGTCCCATTCATGTGAATAGGGTCACACTGCAACCCCATGTAACGCACGACCTTGTGGCATGGTGGTGGAAGCCTTTACCCCGGGTTCACATATATGCAGCCGTGCGTGCCGTGTTTTGCGCGGGCTCAAGAGCTCATTCTTTTGAATGGACTCCCGTGCCCCGTGAACACAGAGAAGTCCCTGCACTTCTGAAAACACAGTCCACACAGGAACCTCGGTTCCCAGTACAGTTGCATTTTCCAGTGCGGGCGGCGTGCCATTAGAAGTCGGGTCTGCATTCCTCTGTGCGGGTGGTGCAGCTGCTCAGATTTTCGTGCGGATCCCCAGAGGCACCACCCGCACAGATGTGAACCTAGCCTGAGGGATTATCATATTGCACCTTCCTTGCCTGTCAATTGTCCTCTAAAAAGCAACCCACTACAGATTGCTCTTCAAAGGGTTACGCATGTGTAAATGAGGAGAAAAGGCCCTTGTAGACGAGTGCAAAGTTGACTTTAAGGTGAATTCGTTGTTAAACCCAGCGAGGAATCGGGAAACATCTGAGTCAGCAACAAGCTGCATGTTTCAAGATGTACTTCTAAATGCAAGCCTGGACCTCTCCTTTATTGAACCATCTGGATCTATAGAGAGATGTCACTTATCTCCCTCCGTCAGATTCCTCTACCCTGTAGCTACGGTCCATCATGTCCTTTTGATTCCATTAGTTCCAGAGACAAGGTTGCAGAAGAATGCAGGAAGATTTCCTCTGCTAACCACTGGAAGGATTAAAACAGACTGATGATGTTATCCCATTTCAGCAGATTTGAAGCGCTGACTGGCGTGCTTTACAACGTGCCAATAATTTTGTTTGTGTATAATGCGTCCAGATATACTTCCCGACGCCATTTAAGCACCATATGTTTTCACAGCAGCTCCTGTTCTGCAACAATTATATCACCTCCTTACGACGAACAAACTTGATATCAGATTCGACTTTTTTTTTCTCACAATGAGCAAGCCCAGTCCTTTACTGTAAAATGATCCAACTCGGAACATATGGAACTTTTACATGATTCCCTTTGGAATATACATATACAGTCTAGTCTTTCAAGGAGTAAATCCTAAATGGAAATGTTGGATATAGGCTCGGATAATGAATATGAAAGCTCTGATTTATGCAGATTTATGCATTACAATGGAATATATATCATTAAATAAAAAGCACTCTATAAATGTCCTTTAAAGTGGAACTCTAGACCAGATGAGTGCTGATAGATACTATTGAAGGGCTTTTCATCCTACTTGCTGTTGTTACATCCTGCTACTGTATTGTCTCCCGTTATATTGTAAAGCGCTGAGCAAACTGTTGGCGCTATATAAATCCTGAATAATAATAATAATAATATAAATCCTGTATAATAATAATATAAATCCTGTATAATAATAATAATAATAATATAAATCCTGAATAATAATAATAATAATAATAATAAAAATCCTGTATAATAATAATAATAATAATAATTATATATCCCTGTATAATAATAATAATAATATAAATCCTGTATAATAATAATAATAATAATAATTATATAAATCCTGTATAATAATAATAATAATACTTGGCCACAGTGGCGGCTCTTACTGTTTATGTCCCACCTGGTAGGTAGAGGGTGCCTGTGGGGGTATGTGGGTGACACTTCCCCTATGGGAGGTGCCAAGTGTGGGTCACATGGGAGGCTTGCCCCAGGGTGGGTTATTCTCTGGGCTATGCTGGGTACCTAGAACAGGGTCACTGCCTTGCACATGGGGTACCTTTGCTTGGACATGTTCACCAGTGCCCTGGGCAATGACAAGGAAGAGGTCGCTTTAAGGGATACACATATGGAAGAAAAATATATTTGAAATATATATTAAAATTTTCTTCCCAAACATATTGCCATATATTTGAAATGCTAAAATTTTGGCCATATTCAGTATATTTCAAAATATATTTCAATTAAAAAAAATGTATATATATATATATATATATACTGCATGTTGAAAAGCATTTTTATTACAAAATATATAAAAAAATATTTTTAAAACTACATTTAAAATATACTGTATGTCTTTAAAAAAACAAATCTACATTTTTGGCATGCATTTACAAGTATATGTAAAAATATATGTTAAAATGACTTTTTTATATGTTAAAAACAATCTAAAGAATATATTTAACAAATGATGAATAAATGTGTTACATGAGTTTACAAGCATCAAGCATTTTTTCTGCAAAAAAGCTGCTGCCAGGTGGAAAGGCATGTAAGAGTGCTGGTCAAAGGTCCAGTGTGCATGGGGCTGTAATGGATAATAAAAATACAAGGTGCTGTTTACAGGTTATGCAATAAATATTTGGAGAGTGGGGGGGGGGGGTGTTTCTGTTGTGAATTTCTAGCTGCTAGGCAATGGATTTATGGTGCTGGTGTGTGGGTATTTCTGAAAAAAAAGTATTACTGCACTATATAATTAACCACTTCCCATCTGGCCCATGTACATAAATGGCCAGACGGGAGCAGTGCAGGACCTGGTTGCCATTCATAAATGGCACCCACATTTACAGCCTGTGCGCACTCCCTGGCACAGCGATTGCTGTACGGGACCTCTGTGTGAGGTCCCAATCAAGTGATCACTGATTGGCCAATCAGTGATCACATGAATAGTAGTAAACAAGATGTCACTTCTGACATCATTGCTTACTACGTGTGAAATCTGTGAATGATCACAGAGGTCACATGGTACAAGGCTATTCACAACAGCCTTGTACCATGTGTCAAGCTGTGACCAATCACAGCTCACACAGTATTTCTCAATGGCTGCAAGAATGCAGCCAGAGAGAAGGAGAAATGATTGCTTTTATAGCCTTTATGTGTGTAAAAGCAATCAGTGTAAAAAAAGAAAATAAAGAATCTTCATCACCCCCCACAAGTAGTACAGTATCACTATGGTGACACTGTACTGCTAGGGTGATGGTATGTTAAAAAAACAAAAAAACCATAAATAAATAATAATATAAAAAAAAAAAAAAGGTAAAAACAATTTTTGAAAAATTATAATTTGGCCAAGATTTATGAAGAAAGATTGTTTATTTGCAAAATTTTATACGAAAAACAAGTTTTTTCTAAATTATTGGACATTTTCATTTATATATCAAAAAAAATAAAAATCCCAGTTGTGAATAAATAGCACCAAAATAAAAGTTTTATCTGTCTCAAAAAATGCTAAAAAATTCATATGGGTACAGTGTTGCATGACCGCGCAATTGTCATTCAAAGTGTGATAGCGCTGAAAGCTGAAAATTGGCCTGGACAGGAAGGGGGTAAAAGTGTCCAGACAGGAAGTGGTTAAATGATTTGCAGCAAAAAAGGAGGCAGCTCCATGTTTTTCACTTTTTTTGTTATATATTGTATTTTGTTGAGAAAAATCTGCTCTTTCGAAAACTGCAAAAAAGGAGGCAGCTCTGAGTGTTAGATCCCACGTTCTGATGGAACTGCCTGTCTAGAATATTGGACAAAAGATTGAAAACATGCACTTTTTTTCTGGTAACCTGCTGGGGCACTCACTGGAGGGTAGCCTTGTCTGTTGTGAACAGGCTAACCTGAGCCATTGATCTCCCCGAATATTTTTATCTTCTCTCTACTTTTATGAACTCACATCAAAGTCCCAAAGCCTCTTGGATGCTTTTTTCTTTTGTTGGACAGAAGAAAGAGGCAGCTCCAAAATTCCCAAAATTTACCTTGCTCTATAGAAAACATATTTACACAAAAGTGAAAAAGTATTTGGCCAATTCCTGATTTTTGTTTGCATATTTGTCACAGATGATTCAGATCATCAAAGAAATTTTAATATTACACAAATTCAGTTTTTAAATGATGATTTCATTTATTAACAGAAAAAAACCTGCCTGGCCCTATGTGAAACCCACCACTCCCCTTGCTAAATCATGAATGAACTGTGATTAATCAAATTTTTTAGAAATCTGAGTTAAATTTTGCTTACCTCACCAAGGCCTGCTTACAGCCAGACCTGTTGAATCAAGAAATCACTTAAATAGAAGCTGTCTGACAAAGTGAAGCATGCTAGAAAGTCTCAAAAAGCAACATCTCATACCACAATCTAAAGAAATTCAAGAACAGATGAGAAAACAAAGTAATTGGCATATATCAGTCTGGAAAGGGTTACAAAGCCATTTCTAAGGCTTTGGGATTCCAGCGAACCATAGTGAGAGCCATTATCCACCAATGGAGAAAACTTGGAACAGTGGTGAACCTTCCCAGGAGCGGTACCCCTGCCAAAATTACTCCAAGAGCACAACGATGACTCATCCAGAAGGTCATTAACCCCTAGCCTACAGGGCACTTATACCCCCTTCCTGCCCAGGCCAATTTCCAGCTTTCAGCGCTGTCACACTTTGAATGACAATTGCGCGGTCATGCAACACTGTACCCAAATGAAATTTTTTATCATTTCTTAAAACAGATAGAGCTTTCTTTTGGTGGTATTTAATCACCTCTGGGATTTTTATTTTTTCTTAAACAAACCAAAAACCACTGAAAATTTTGAAAAAAAACCCGTTTCTTCTTAGTTTTTGTTATGCAATTTTGTAAATAAGTGATTATTCTCCTTCACTGATGTGCGCTAATGAGGCTGCAGTGGTGGGCACTGATAGGCTGCACTGACGGACACTGATAGGTGGCACTCATGGGCACTGATGAGGAGGCACTGGTAGGTTGCACTGATGGGCATTGACAGGCATCACTGATGGGCACTGAAAGGCAGCACTGATACATGACACTGATATATGGCACTGATAGGCAGCACTGACTGGCACTGATAAGCGGCACTGGCTGGCACGGATGCGCACTGATAGGCGACACTGACTGGCACTGATAGGTGGCACTGATTGGCAGCACTGATAGTTGGCACTGATTGGCATTGATAGGTGATTGCACTGACTGGCACTGATGGGGTGACATTGAAAGGCAGCTCAGATGGGCACTAATATGTGGCATTGATGTGCACTGGTATGCACTGATATGTGGCATTGATGCGGGCACTGATGGGCACTGGCATGTGGCACTGATAGGCACTGGCATGTGGCACTGATGAGCACTGACAGGTGGCACTTCTGGGGCCACACTGATCATCAGGGCACACTGATCAGTGCCCTGATGATCAGTGTACATGTCCCCTCCGCGGAAAGCCGACTGTTCAACAGGTAAAAAGTTTTGGGCATAAAATTAGCTAATCTTACATAATTTTGGGGTGCTGAAAAATGAAAATGACCCTAAAAAAATGTTGATTGGCTCTAGTTTCCATGATATATTCACCCATCTAATGACGTAAGCCATTCAAAATTATGATGCAACTTCAGCTGCATATTGTGCAATTGATACTGGTGACCAATAGAAAATTGCATGTATACTGAGATGATGCAATATTAGCCTTTAATTGCATCACTTCACTGCATAAAAGCTGCAGTATCTGTAGCTGATTGTAGTTCGACAGCGTCTTTACATTTCGTTTTATACTTATATAGGCTACTCAGTAATGCCTCGAACTTGTGTGAATAAAGCAGATAATTTCTGCTATATCTGCAGTGAAATAACTTTTATCTCACAAAAAAGGAGGATAACAGGAATGATTAAGAAAGCCTACAACTTGTATTTTGGCTGCAAGATAGGAGACCAGGACAAGAGCTGGGCACCACATATATGCTGCAATTCTTGTGGGACAGCACTGGAGCAATGGTTGAATGGAAAAAAGGCATCTATGCCTTTCGCTGTGCCAATGATTTGGAGAGAGCCAACAGATCATGTTAGTAATTGTTACTTTTGTATGGTGCCTCCAATTGTAAAAGGGCTAAATAAGAAGAAAAAGTTATCTGTGCACTATCCAAATATTCCATCGGCAATACGTCCAGTTCCTCATGGAGAGGGGCTACCAATTCCTAAAGCACCAGAATCCTTCGTGGTTGAGTCAAGTGAGGAAGAACCTGAAGCGTGTAGTCACGTGCAGTTGTAAGAGATAGCCCTTTCCTCGAATACAAGAGAAAAGCCAAGAGAAGCAAAACCGACACAAACTGAAGACAAAACTAGTGAGAATCCTAAGTATTAAAATGATTCAACTTAGCTTATGGCTATAATTTTTCTTGGTAATCCTATGCAATATATTATGCCATTTAGGCTTTGTTATGTAGTCAATATCACTTGCTTTATATTTGTGGAAAGACATCTATCTATATAATTATTGTGCATTATGTAGTCATTACGCCTATAGTAGAAAAACTTTCCGTTTACAGAAAAACTAGAGCCAATTGACAAATTTCATTGTTATATTTGAACTCAGAATGTGAAATTCATTAAGAAATGGATCCTTTTGTTTCCAAAACTGGCAAGAAATAAAAATTTGTTGAACAGTGTTACTAGCTCTCCTCTCCTCTCAAGCTGTCAGTGTGACAGCTCGAGAGAAAGAGAAATGCCGATAACCGCCATTTCCGTGTTTACATGTGATCAGCTGTGATTGGACACAGCTGATCACATGACCGAGCCGACATCTTTGGTTCTTTCTGTGATCTGCTGTGTCCGAGGGACACAGCGCACCGGAGATCGCCGCGCGCTCCCTGAGCCGCGCATGCGCAGTGAGTCTGGTAGGACGTCATATGACGTCCTATCAGAACGAGAGAACCACCTTGTGCCCGTCACTATAGGGTGGGCGGAAGGTGGTTAAAGAACCCAGAACAACATCTAAAGAACTTCAGGCCTCACTTGCCTCTGTTAAGATCAGTGTTAATGGGCAAGATGGTATATCACACTGAGTGTGGCACATAGATTGAGTGGATATAATTCACCTTTATGTTGGCGTGGATGTGGAGGTAGAGGCACAATGTATCACATTTGGTGGGAGTGTTCTAAAATAAAAGAGTATTGGGGGAAAATAGTAAGCTTGATTCAGAAAATTACAGAGGTTAATATTCTAGTAGACCCAGAGATTTGCCTTTTCCATAGTACTAAGCTTTCAGTTAAAAAATACAAAGAATCTGGTTTCTTGTACTATTTGAATGCAGCAAAGGGACTGATATCCAAGTTTTGGAGGAGACAGGAGGTGCTGAAAATAAAAGACTGGGTGGATAGGGTGGATCAAATATGTAAATTGGAGGAACTTTATCATATGAATGAAGATAAGATGGAGAGTCACCATACAAGATGGAACAAATGGGAGGAATTCAAAAAGTTAAAGCTAACCATAGAGGATATGGGGGACTAACACAATAATATGGGAATATATTTTGTTCTTCTTTTATAGGGACTAGGATCTCCAGAAATGAACAGGAAAATGCAGAGCAGAAGGGCTTAAGGGTTGGATTGGGGGGGGGGATGGTATATAGGTAGGGGGATGGGGGGGAAGGGATGAAACGATAAATGTTTTGATATTGTTTTGATAAAGGTTTTAATGAGTGTGTTTGTATAATTTGTTTATCTGAAAAATGTATAAATATTTAAATTAAAAAAAAAAAGATCAGTGTTAATGGTTCAACAATAAGAAAGTAACTGGGCAAAAATGGCATCCATAGGAGAGTTCCAAGGTGGAAGCCACTGCTGAGCAAAAAGACTCCTCTCGCATTTGCCAAAAAAAATCTTGACTATCCCCAAGAGTTTTTGGGCAAAATTTCTGTGGACTGATGAGACAAAAGTTAACTTTTTGGAAGGTGTGCGTCCTGTTACATCTGGTGTAAAACTAACACAGCATTTCAAAAACGAACATCATACCAACAGTCAAACATGGTGGTGGTAGTGTTATGGTCTGGGGCTTTGTTCTAGCTTGGGGGATCTGTACGACTTGCCATAATTGATGGAACTGTCAGTTATGCACTCTACCAGAAAATCTGAAGTAGGATGCCCGGCCACCAGTTCATGACTTCAAGCACACCTGAATTTTGCAACAGGACAATAATCCGATACACACAGCAAGTCCACCTCTGAATGGTTCAAAAAAAGAACAAAAGTAAGGTTTTGGAGTGGCCTAGTCAAAGTCCGGGCTTAAATCCAATTGAGATGCTGTGGCATGACCTTAAACAGGCTGTTCATGCTCCAAAACCCTCCAATGTGGCTGAATGAAAACAGTTCTGCAAAGAAGACTAGGCCAACATTCCTCCACAGCGATGTGAAAGACTCACTGCCAGTTATCATAAATGCTTGATTGCAGTTGTTACCACCAAGAGTATCACAAGCAGTTATTAGGTTTAGGGGACAATTACTGTTTCACATAGGCCAGGCATGTTTGGATATTTTTTTTCCCTTAATATATGAAATAATCATTTAAAAACTGCATTTTGTATTTTACTCGGGTTATCTTCATGTAAGGGGAAAAAAACCTGCGCTACACCCCAGACGATACAATGTGTGAATAAATGTGTGAAACAAATATATATTCTGAAACAATAATGAAACAATTAGTGAACTGCTGCTACTCTTTCCCTGAACACCAGAAAATACAAAACAAATAATATAAAAAATGAGTGCGCTGTACACTAAATAATCATAAACAATAATGAATCAAATAAATGCTGCTACATAAAAAATGTGCATAAATTAATTAAAATGACATAGGTCCACATTCATATATTAAATAATTAAACGTCCCAAAATCCAATACCACAGTGATGTGTTCTAAAGAAATCCTCCAACGGAAAGTGCATAGGTGCAGGGGTGTCACTAGGCAGGTGCGGGGGGTGCGCGCTGCACCGGGTGACACCTACCGCATGGGGTGACACCGGACCCGCTCCATGAAAAGGTAAGCTGTAAAGCAAGCCAACGATTATCCCTAGGATGGATTGAATCTGCAGATTGAGCATAATGGACTGGAGTCCGATCCATTATGCTCCCCAAACCGCATATCCGATCCATCTTGCGGTGATCGTCGGCTTGCTTTACAACTTACCTTTTTGTGGAGCGGGTCCGGTGTCACCCCGTATAGGTTGCATGCCGACGATCCTTGCAGGATGGATCGGATCTGCGGATTGGGGAGCATAATGGATTGGACTCCGATCCATTATCCTTAATCCGTAGATATCCATTATGCTCAATCCGCAGATCCGAACCATCATGCAGGGATGGTCGGCATGCAACCTATACGGGGGGGTGACACCGGACCCACTCCATGAAAAGGTAAGCTGTAAAGCAAGCCGATGATCCCCGCAGGATGGATCAGATCTGCGGATTGAGCATAATGGATTGGAGTCCGATCCATTATGCTCAATCCGCAGATCTGATCCATTCTACAGGGATTGTCGGAGGGGGTGTCACCAAGTGTTATCGCACCGGGTGACACCAACCCTAGGGACACCCCTGCATAGGTGTCCACAAATGCTTGCTTCTTACCAGGCACTTTGATCTCCAATCAAGAGATCAAACAAGCAGATGGTGTTCAGATCCCACACTGACACCCAGGGGCGTATCTGCCGCAAGGCAAACAAGGCGTTTGCCTAGGGCGGCAGTTTACAGGGGGGCGGTATGCTCCCCAAGCAGAAGGGACACTGTGTGTGTCAGCGGCAGGGCCGCCATGGGTGAGGGTACAGCCAAGCCGACACACAAGGAGGGTCACCCTGGCCAAGGGACCGGCTGCAGAGGAGAGCGGAGCGGTGGGAGGATCCCCGGTGTGCGCTTGGAGCGCGTGAAGGCCGGGGCCCGCTGTCAGTGTGCACCGGGATGTGCAGGATGGCCAGAAGGTGCCAGCGGAGGAGGAAGAAGAAGACCTCTACCCCAATTTATCAGACTATCGCCTACACTGCTCACTTTTAGGTGATCTCTGAAAACCTATCTCTTCAGGGAAGCATATCCTGCCCTCAGCTAATAAAGGAATCTTCTACTCTTTAAACCAGTCCATCCCCCACAGTTACTATCTTTTGTAGCA